CTCTAGTGGTACTTCTCATTTTAGTGTTGCATCAGCACATTATTGGCACTAGCTCTTTTTAAGGAAAAGGCTTTTCTAGATAGCATCAACATGTTCCCAACTCCCACATCTCAGCTCCAGAGGAAGACAGATGATCAGAAATATAAGAAGCTGGGCAGTTCTGAATCTGAGGCAGCAAATGGAAGGGAACATAAGATGTGGTGACTGGCCATAAGCCCTTCTCTCCCATCCGTCAAGAATTTTATTTTCTGACTATGGTGACCAAGAAGTTCCTCACAGAACCCAGGCAGTGGACTTCATCCATCTGTTACCATGGATAAATTTTGAGTGTTATAGTCAGGGAGTTGATTCAAAATGGAGTTTCTGATGGGTTCCATTTTGTGAGACCATGAAAGCAGGGAGAGGCTTTTTCCCACCAAACCCCATGTTTGCACTCAGCCCTCTTTTGCACCCTTCTCAAACATTGGCCCCCTAGAAGCTGCACACCACCCAAAGGTTGCATATAGCCCTTCATAGGTGCACACCACCCTGTGGAATCTATGCACACATCACCAAATTATGGACTCAACACCCATAGAGCTTTTCCCACCCAAATGTTAATAGAACCCCTCTGTTCTGTTCAGTTTGGGTTTGTTTGTGGGTTCGCTTGGTTAGTTTGTCTTGTCCGTTGTGAGTGGGTTTGCTCGTCCGTCCTGCTTGTATCTATGTACGAATGAGTGAATGAGATTGGCTGATTCCTATCATCGTGGGTGCAGTAGTGTGGGCTCAGCTGTATAGCTAGTCTGAGGGCCACCTGCATGTGGAGAAGTCCCACATTTGGGAATTGAGGCCAGGGATAGTGGCAGTTGAACATTTGTGTCACCGCCACCACCATTTTGGACTAAGTGAATATACTGAAGAGTCATTCGCCCCTGGATCTAGTGGAAAACTACATTCTGAGAGGTCAAGGATTCCTGAATGGTCCTGTGTCAAAGGTCTGAATACCGATTTCGAGGGATCTCCTCACTGATCCTCTGCTAAGGCTTAACACTAGCCACGGTGTTGCAGGGCTAGTAATATTAATGTAATGTACTCAACCATTTGTAATGTATATTTCCTTTTGTTTGAGGGATTTTCTGTCTTTTCTTCTAAGGCTAGAGTGGGTTTGTATTTCTGTTTGTCATTTCCTGTGTATGCTGTTTTTGAACAATTCTGACAATACATGCTTTGGCCCTAAATTCTGTGTCTGCCTGTTTATTAAAGAAATCACCGGTGACAGATATGGATTTATCAGGTGTTCCTCGCTTCTGAATCCAGGGACATTTAACAGCGTTAGTCAGAGCCAGCCTAGTTTATTCTTAATTAGGTTAAAATTAAATGTTGCAGCGTTCCCTGTGCAACACATCACTGTGGTGAATGCTGTTTTGGTCTTTTCCCTCAAATTATTTCACAGAGAATTAATTGGAACTAGACATAAGGCAGCTTCCTCACACCCAAAACATCCCTCTTTATGTAGAGTTCATCTGCTTCTTATGAAGCATGACTATTTATTATACATTAGACTAGCTAGACAAAGACATCTGCTTTCAGATTGTGCCTACAAGATTTTTTTTCCTGAGAATTTTCCCCAACATATCTGTCTTATTAAAAGATCCAGAAATTAGCTCAAATAAATCAGTTATATCTTTGAGGCGGTCTCATTTTATTGAGGAAAATCAGTTAGCTGTCCTGCTCTTCTCAACTCTGGTGAGGCTTCAGCTGGAGTACTGTGCATAGTTCTGGTCCTCACATTTTAGGAAGTGGACAAGTTAGAGTAGGTTTAGACTTGAGAAAATAAAACAGGGGGTGGATCTGCTGAGTCTTCAACATTGTTAAGGGTTGATTTGAAAAGCACTGGGTAATCAGTTACTTTCCTTACACACTGAAGGTACAGCAAGAAGTAACGGGGCTTAACCTGCCAGAGGGATATTTGTTAGCTATTAGGAAAAGACCTTCTAAACTTTAAGGATAGTTAAATACTTGAATAAGTGTCCAAACGAGATAGCAGAACAGCTGTCATTGGAGCTTTTTAAGAACAGGCTAGATAAACAATTTTCTGGGATGATCCACACACATTTAGTCCTTGTCAGCGCAAAGGGTTAGACTAGAGATAGATGACTACTAGAGCTGCCTTCCAGCCATACATTTCTATGATTTTATGAAAACCAAAGAGCTTTCATCGAAAGCAGGAGTACTGCCAGAAGACTTTCAGAGAGAAAAACCTGAAGAATCTCTCCTTAGAGTAGGAACCTTATATACCTGTCTCTCTCAAGAAGGTAAAATTGCCTGTCCTTTTGTTTAAGTTCTGTTGTGGCTTCTGTAGATTCACTTTTGCTGCTTTGTGTAACTGGAGTTTGGGTGGGACTTGTTTTAGAATATTCTCTTTGTGATTAACTAGAAACTGAAGGGAACTGAGACATTTGGAATAGAAATGTCCCACAGGGAAGAGCCAAAACTCAAACTCAACATTGTTTGTGTTCCAGTCTCAGACTAAGAAGCAGAGTCTTTGGGGATGGCAGTCCCTTAAAGCAGCAAATAATTTTCCTGATGTCACATTTAGCACTTGAGGGTGCTTCAGCCAGATAGCCAAAATAAATCAAGGCTTGTTGATATTTTGCATAATTAGATATGTAACCCGTCTGCCGGGTAGGGCTGGGTTCAATATCTTGGGGTCCGGCTCAAGCCCCCACCCAGTAATCTGGGAAATTCACGCACCCCTGGGCGCCTCTGAGAAGCAATGCTTCCCCACCCGCAAGCACTGAGTTTGAGTGTAGGAAAGAAACATTTAATGAAACAAGAGAGAGAAGTCATACGGCATTAACTTGGGGAAAACACCACAGAGTTCTAACCCCAACATGAACCAAGCCCCCCCCCCCCCCAAGAATCACCCAAAGTCCAAAGAGTCCCACACCCCAAAAGTCTCTGTCTCTGGTCCATGCCACCTTCCAACACCTCAAAAGTCTCTGTCCCTGGTCCGTGCCACCCAGAGTCCCAAAGTTCACCCGCAGGGTTTCACCTGCCAACCTGGGTAGAAATAGGGGTGGGGGGATAGATATGGGGCACCTTATACGAAACTCCGCCACGCTCCACCAGCTGTCTTGTCCCACGCCTCTGGACGCTCCGCTGGGCACCTGCCGCCGCTCCTCATCTGCTGCCGCTGCTCCTCGCCACACCACTGCAGCTCCACACCACAGGTCACTGCTCCTTGCCTGCCGCCGCTCTACGCCACACCGCCGCCACTCCACGCCACTGGTCACTGCTCCTCGCCTGCTGCCGCTCCACACCATGCCGCCAATGCATGCCACACCACTGGCTGCAATAGGCCTGGCTCTCAGCCAAACCAGTGATTTCAACTCACAGTGATTTCAACTCTTTAGCCACCAGCTGGACTGGCAAATGAATCCAGCTTTCACTGGACTAGCAAAAGAAGAGTCTCCTCAGGGAGTCTTCTTTAGGTCTGTCCTTAAAACAAAGGGGGAAAGGTGCAGGCCAGGCCAGGCCAGTCTTATAGCTCACACCTGGCAGGTGTGAAGCAGGCTGACTCAAGCCCTTTAACCCTTCCCCCAGCTCAGTTCACTCAACTCAAAGGGGGGAGGCTTGTTCTTCCGAGACCTCTTACCATGATGGTGGTGTCTCTCCTGCAAGCACTGTTGGCATGTTTTACAGTTCCCACATTAAGGGGTAGCATGATTAGTGACCCCCCACAACAGTCCCAAATTATATACAATTCTCCACATTCCATTCCAACACTGACCTTCCATCAGCCCTGGCTGAATGGGATTTACATAGCCACACCTCAGATTCTCTCCTGAACTGTATTTACATAACAGTTAACAGTTGATTACCTTGCAGAGCTAAACAATTGTAGTGGGCACACCCACCCCTCCTTTTAGCTGGCTGATAGCAAGCAGCCCCTGCTTACAGATACATTTTGTTAAAAACATTGTAGATGGAGGCTTATTGTTGAATCAGGTAATAACTTCTTACAAAGATCTACTGGAAAAAGGAAGAACCTATTCTGCTTTAATGACCTACCTATGTTTGACACAGATTTAATTGACCCTTTTTCTCTGAAAAAAGCTGCAGAATGGCTGAGGAAAAAATGCTAGGACATGTCAGTGGCTCTTGTCCACAGGGTGCAAATAAAGAGCTGGCTGTCTTGTAAATGTTTTTAGTTACCAAAAGGTAGCAGAACACAGTATATAAAAGAATGGTTGGTGAACTCAAAAATCGAGCTGTCAGCCTGAACTCTACAATGAGGAATTGCCAGTTGTATTCCTTTCCTGCATTTCTAAAGTTCCTTTTTCAGAAATTCCTATCTCTAGCTTTGTCCAGTGGTAGCAAGAACAACTGATGCAAACACCATTCTTGTCTGCTTTACTGCTCTTGCTGAGACAGCATTGAGTAGCAGCAGCAAAAGTAGTCTTCCTTTTCCAGGTTGCACAAGCAATAGCAGGAGAGATTGCAGAGTGAGTGAAAACAAAATCAAGTGTACCTTTTGCCACCTTCTGCAGCTTTTACTCCCTAGGAAGCACTGTGTAAAGGACATACTTGATTCACTGCTGGAAAAGGCCATTACATTCACTTGTACATTTTGGTAATCTGTAAGCCCAACACACACAGCTCTGGAGGACACAATGTGCCTAGTGACTCACTGACAAGAAGAGCAACTGCCAGACTAAAGGTGTAGCTGCCACCACCAAGCCTGTTGCCAGTAACTTTACAGCAGCTGGCTTTCAAAAGCAAGTTTACACTCAATAGGTGTTTTTACAGTGCTCTTCTATACAACAAATCTAATATTGGTGCAGGTCACCTATATGAATTACATTGCTCTGAAAACAACCTGCACCAGAATGTGGTTTTTAGGCAGCAGGGTTCCAGTTTAAAGCCAATTTGATTTGCCCTGAATCCATTATGGCCAAACAGATAAGCACATATGGAAATCTGAATCAGAGCCTGGAGCACAGAAATACAACAGACAGTTTTTGAAAAAAGCATTTTTTTTATTTTGAAATACAATCCAAAGTTGTATCTTTAAGAAATGCACAGGGTATCTTGTTCCTTCCACAAGTCTTGGCTATGTGCATTTCAGTTCAACTTAAAAATGCATTCAGGTTTACAAATGTACAAACAAGACAGAAGTGTATACAGTCTTAACAGAATGAATCCTCTTACATTCAGCCATTTTTGTTCTTAATGTTTTTACATTCTTAGAACCTGTTAACAAAGACAATTTTATTTTAAAAAAATACTCTGCATTTTGAGCACAAGGTGCTTTTTTAAAAAATTAGATCTTGGAGCATAATACTGGAAAAAAAATTAAAAACCAGAACTGGTACTTTGATAAAATTGTTGCATGCTGGGACCATTTTCTAATTCAAATTGTCTCCCAAATAATGAATGGCAGATGATAAAATAGAAAACCAATGGAAGCTCTTCCAATTTATAAATCTTAGTTGAAGTTTGGTTTGTCATCACACTGACTTTTACAAGCTTAACTGTGATCTCACACTATCATAATTGCAAAGTAGACTTTAATGAAAGCATGGCTGGTTCAATTGTGTTGCAAAAGGGGAAGAAAAAAGCAATGGTAATAATAGCCTGAAAATGATGTTCCAAAAATGGCATATTCAGAATTGTATCATGATCTGGATAAATGTCCCTTTGTATAGCCTAATTTTAGTTTTCATGAGGATAATGGGTGTTAGACCAAGGATCTGAGCTTCTTCTTCCAATTGCAGGACTCCAAATTCGCCAGGGATTATACGTCTGTCCCATGTCTTCAGCCAGGTTAGTAACACCGGCACCAGAAGGTGGAGGAGGAGCAGGGGAGTTTTCACTACCCATCAGATCAATTCCAGATAATGTATTTGCTGGCGTGGTGAAGGGAAGGCTGCCGTTGAGGTTACTTGACCAAATAGAATTGCTGAAGGGAGTGGTGGTAGACCACAGGCCACTGGGGTTGCCAAGGATCGACTGAAGTACAGAAAAATAAATGCTGCATTAGTTACAATTATACAAATTTTATTAACAGTCTTAGTCATTGCTCTCTGTTAGCTTTTAAACTAACATTCAATTAGTTCAGACATGATTAGTTCTAAAATCATCAGATGCACTGGATTTTACCGAACCTGTGCTTTCTAATCCTGGGGATAAAAGCCTGATAAGTTTTTGTATGTTAAACAATCACATACCAATGAATTCTGCATTTGAGGGCAAAACAAAATAAAACTCATCATGGAAAATTTAGTACAGGCAGTCCTCGGGCTTCCTGTAGTCAGCCAGCCACTGGCAAGTTCCAGGCGTCCCCAAGAGCAGCTGGGGTTCTGCTGGGTTGGTCCCGCTGCGCCAAGGGTCGGCGCTACCAGACCAACCCAGCAGCACCCCAGCTGCTCTACCCCAGGTGTCCCCAAGTCAGCTGCTGCTGAAACTGATCAGCAGATGATTCCAGGAAGCCTGGGGCAAAGCAACTCTGCCTCAGGCTTCCTGTAGTCAGCGCTGGTCAGTTTCAGCAGCGGCTGAATCGGGGGCACCTGGAGTACAATATGTACCAGTTCCGACTTACATACAAATTCAACTTAAGAACAAACCTACAGTCCCTATCTTGTACGTAACCTGGGGACTGCCTGTAGTAATCTGAATTTCAAATCCTCGGATTCTCTTTTTTGGATGTTTAAGCTCTTCATTTTTGTAAATTTTTTTCCAGTGGAGAAGTCATCCCTGCTCCCACATGAACACTTTTTAGAAACTATGAATGAGCAAAAGAAAACCACTGAGAATGGGGGTGAGTGATTTAAGCAGTAGCTGCAGAGGTTGGTCAATTGTTAATAAAGTGACACTTTTATAAACTCTCCCATGACAAGAGCCCTACATAAGCACAGATAGCCGAGTGGATGCCTGGTCAGGGCTCCCCCTCCCTGCCACCAGATGGAGGGGGGAAGAGGGGAGTAGGGCAGGCCTCTGAACTGCTGACAGGGAAAGGACACAAGAAGCTGCATTCTAGATCTCCCTGCAGAAGAAGCTAAGTGCTGGCCCTGACTGGCCCCTCGCTTGGTAAGCAATAGCCTGTGGAGCCCAGATCCCAGGACCTTGCTGCCTCTTAGTCCCTGCTTTCATGCTGCCTCTCCCTTCCCTGCACAACCCTTTCCTCTCTCCTTGCTCATCTGTATTCCCTCCTTCCTCCCCTCCAGATTTGTTGAGCAGAAGCAAGTAAAATCCAAATCACAAATTGTGGATCAGATGAGAAGTTTAGCCTGGCAAATGCAGATCTACATTTTTGTTTCCATGCAGGGCTCTACCCATGACACTAAAACGTTGAGTTAAACATCGAGTTCAGGGGTTAGCAACAATGGGGTGTTATGCCACCTAAATTCCTACCATAAGAGGAAACACTGCATTGAAATGGGGAGAAAATTAATTTTCCTATAAGCTGTATTAATGTTAATAAGAGGAAGCATGTGATATAGTTAAAAACATCATTCCCCACTGCTGTCCTGAATATCAGATTCTTCATAATAGATAAGCAAAATACGGAATGCAAGGAAAAGAGAATGAAGTTACTACTATCTGTCTACCGTATATTCCGGCGTACAAGACGACCTCTGATGTTAAAAAACATCCCCCCAAAATCGGGGGTCGTCTTGTACGCCGGATGCACCGCCGCCGGAGCCCCTCCGCGGCTTTGAAAGCCTCGGGGGAAGCCGGCGGCGGGGGGGGCCCCGC